TGGGGGGGGGGGCGTTTTTCCGTAAAGTCTTATTATGGTTTGCTACTGGGTAGGGAGGAGGCAGTCTTTCCTCATCTTTCGGTTCGGATTCCTAAAGTACTGAGAAAGGTGTGTTTCTTTACATGGCTAGTTACAAGGGGGTGATTCTAACAGCTAAAAATTTGAGGAAGAGGGTTGCATGTGCTAGTTAGTGCTTCATGTGTAAGGGCTCGGATGAAGATGTAGATCACCTTCTTTTACATTGTAAAATTGCATCTTGCCTGTGTAAAGTGTTGGATTGATTTGGTCTTCAGTGGGTAATGCCATGCACGATTAAAGAAGTAATGTTCAACTGGAGATTCAGAAGGAGAAGAAGACCCAGAGCTTCGGATGTTGCTCCACTTGCACTAATGTGGATTATTTGGAGAGGAAGAAATGGGAGAGCTTTTGATGGAGTAGAGAAGGACTTTGTACATTTGAGGAGTAGTCTCTTTTCCCTTATTATGTTTTGGTGCACCCACGAGATTCCTTTAAGCATAGAAGATTAGGTGACCTTTGTAGAGGGCCATATTTTTTTGTGAGGCTCTCTTTTTTAAGTATACTTCCTGTATACAGGTATTTATGCCCTTCATTAATGAAATCTTATTACCTTATTAAAAAAAAATTGGATGAAGCTTCACAGCAAGTTTACTAGTTTGTGCAGAACTTCACTTTAACATTTTCCATTAGTAATTGCATCTAATATCTCTTGTTACTTTTGTGAGAAGGCACGGGACAAAATATGATATATTGATATTGTGTGTTCAATACAATACAAGAGGTCCTTATTTATAGCTATACTATACAAGGACATACTACTCCCATTCCAATGTGGGACAAGACTACATTATGTACATATCTAACAACTTTGTGTACCATGCTACCTCATAAATTTCCAAAGCTCCACGACTGAAGGTTGTGTGCATCACTTCCATATCAAGGTGAAGTATTTCATAAAAGCTCTGTGCAATTACTTTATTATTCAGTTATTTAGTAGCTTCTGGTTGAAGCACTACATGAATTTACTTTTACGACAATAAAGATTGAGAAGCAATGAAATCATTAGCAAATGATTTAGTAGCTTACTAGCTTAATACTCCATTAAAGTAATGTGAAATAAAATTACTACTCCCTGTTTCCCATTTTGTTCCACACAATCACTATTTCAAGAATCAATCAAATAACTTTTTCTTTGACAACACTTATCTTCTTCATTTTTTATAAGTACATTTAATTATCCAAAATCCAATTATAGTAGTACTCTTCTGTAAGGAATGAATATATATTGCAATTTTATTTTCAGCAAAGAAAAAGTACCTCAATATTAGGCTGCCGAATATCTGAAGCATAAAACAAGCGCAATTTAAACTTCTTGAGCCTGTAAGGCTGATCACTTGCAGTTCGAACTGGCACTGTTCCAATAAAGTAAAAACATTTCACAAACAGTTAATTCTACGAAAAGATTACTATTAAATTTACATTAAGATTGTATTGAAACGGAGTTGACCGTCGATATTGTTGAAATTGCAGAAAGGAGAAAGCAATTGGATGAAGGAGAGTTGATTCTTCTGAGAAGATTCCTCAACGAGAGGGGTGCGGAGGACCATGACCACTGGAGTGATCTCCTCCAATATCATTCGCCCTAGAGTTGAGTTCGCCGGATCCATCGTCGCCGGTGACTGGATTAAAATGACTCGGGACTCACCGACTCGCTTGATCTCCCCGGCTATCTACTACTTTGCTGGGTGTTTATGCTCAGAAGTCAGATCCGGAGCTGTTGTACAATGAAGTAATGGAAATCTGGGCTACCAGTCCAAACCAACTCTATTTAAAACATGACAAAAAGATGCTAGAGCCCTTAAAAATTTTATAGCCAAAAATATAATATGGCCATTTGAACATTCTATTACCCAGTTGCCCCACTCACTTCTTATGCCTCTACGGCCTCCCCTTTTTTCTCTTTTTTGTGTTTATTCTTTTATTTTTCTTAATATTATTATTATTTTTTCACTATATCTTTTTCTTTCTAATAAAATTTTACACTCTTTTTCAGTTTCTATTTTTTATTTATAGTATTATTTTATTTCTTTCTTTTTTATTCTTTTTTGTTCTCTCTAGTAACTAGTAATCTCTTTTTTAATTTTTTAATTTTTTATTATCTTTTGATGTATTTTTTATTTTTCTTAACTTTATTTTCTTTAGTAATCAATTTTTTCTACTCTCTTTGTTCATTATTTTTTATTTTTTTTCTTGTATTACTTTTTTCAGTAAAATTCCTTTGTCCAAAGATTTTATCACTTTTTTTTACTTTTTTTATTCTTTCTAATTAAATCGGTGAATCCTAATATTTTTGTTGGGTCACTTTGTTTTGCAGTATTTTTGAAATTCTTTATTTTATATTACTACTTACAATAAGAGGGAATAGCAGGCACGTCTCGGTCAACATGAGTGCTTTCATAGAAATAAAAATTGATCTGAGGATATTTCTGTCATTTCAAAGCTATTCAGTCGATCGCTCAGTTTAACACGTGTAGTTCCAGTTTTAACATTTCGCAGCACCTCTGGTTTCTCAGCTAAAAATCTCGACCGAACGTAGAGAACTAACGGCATCTCCAGAAAAGTAACGCTCCAGAACGTCTGTTCTCTCTCTCTCTCTCTTTGCTCTCAAGTTTGTACTGCAATGTGTTTTCCCGTCAATCGTATTTTCTGGTGGGTATCCCTTCTACCATCTCTTGGTTCGTCTTTATCTGTATCTCTTGATTCATGTTTATCTATATTTGTCTTGAGGAATATTTGAGAAAATTCTTGAACGAATACAATTTCTATTGAAGTTCTCTAGGTGTTTGAGAAAATTCTTCAATGAATTACCCTAATTTCGTATGCATATTTCTGTCTTCTCTATTGTTTATGTGTTTGAAAAAATACTTGAACAACCAAACTTATCAGTTGAGTT